TGCATGCTCAACTGTGAGGGCATTTTCCAGCTTGAACGCTCGGCAGGGCTTTTGCTTTGTGGCGTAGCCTCTGAAAAGGAAGATGGCCTTGTTTTGACCTATTGTGTTCGCTTGGGACACGTGAGTATCTGCTGTGTCGTCTCCGACCGAGCCGACAACAAGCCATGAAAGTCCCGGACTCAAGCCCGCCCACCATCGCTTCCCAGATGGCCACCCTGGCCAAAATGACGGGCATGCAGCTCAATCTGCGGGACTGGCCGTGCCTGGTTCCCAGGCACGAGATCGGAGCAGTGTCTTTCAGCTGAGGTACTGGAAAGGTTGTTGTGTGACAGCGAGGGGAAATAGTCAGAACCGAAGAGTCAGTTGAACAAGCGTCGTAGTCACAGATGTGCATCATACCAGTTTACCTTTGCAAACCGTCCCGCTTGACACTCATGACGCTCGCACACGTTTGCCACCGGGGAAGTTTCAAACCCAGGCTCAAAAACCGTCCCAGGTTGAGACGATGTCCGGATATATCCGGACCCTCGGTGAAGCAGGTCGAGGGTAGTGCTGCCGCCCGGAAAGGGCCAAGCTAAAGTTTGCGCCGTATACTGGCTGGCCTACGGTGACTGGGCCCGTAGGTCTGCCGCAGACCACGCGCAGTCGACGAGAAATCGCGAGCGTAAGCCTTCAGATCACAGTGAAACGTTTTGCGGGGAGGGGGAGGTGGGCGGGGGGAGGACGCAGTGAAGGGGGAGAAGGGGGCAGATCGCCACGACACGGGACGGGAATCGGAAGCAGCCTCCGGTTACCACAAACAGGTTACCCACTGACCGGGCTCGTGGTTTTGGGGTACGTGCTTAAGGCTTCCTCCCTTTCTGAGGTCCGAACCAGGATTGCGTGAACAATACCCGAATGGTTTTCGTACGGGACCCAGTTACGGTGAAGAGTTTCGGACTTGGGGCTAAGGGCTTGGGGTCTAAGGGTTTACGAGGTTTAGGGTTTTGGGTTTTGGGTTCGAGACCCGAGGCCACTGCCCAACTTTCTCAGGTTTTGATGCCTCGAGCCGAAAGCCCTCTAGGCATCCCGTAGGGCTAAGGTTAGGGTTTTGGGACTCCACTCGCTGAGGGCAAGCACGAAAGCTGCCCACAGTGTGGCATGAGCAAGCCTGCTTGGGCCAACCTTGGAAGAGGCCAGCCTGAGGGGTGCTAAAATGATGACACTCAAATAGTCATCCTCACATATCCTGAAGTTATAATATCTGATAACACTGAACTACCAATTGTGGTTCTTCTTGCTCTAGTTTATTGATCATCTCATTGGCCAAACTTCCACATCAGGAAGACCTAGAGGACAGCTATATAGGAGCTGCTACAGACTTGAAAGCTGTTCCAGTCGTGCCCGCTTTTGGCCATCCTGATGGTTAAGAAGTTTGTTCGCTTCAGAGGTCAGGGTTGTGGTGGTGGTTGTTGTTGTTGTTGTTGGTGGTGGTGTTGCTGTTTCTGTTGCTGCTGTTGTTGTGAGCCAATCTTCCCAGGCCTTGGAGCTAGTTTGGAAGCTTTGTGACCAAACATCTTGCCAGACCGAGAAGCTAGTTTTGAAGCTTACATCATCATCACCATCATGATCCTGAGCAGCAGCGGTTCTTCTCGGATGCCCCAGTGATAGCAGCATCAACGATTACAACAGCAGCACAAGCACAACCACAGCCACAGCTGCAACAGAACCCTCGGCAGTCTGCAAGGGTTCTGATTTTAGGTTCGGAATTTCGTTGCAGACGTTTCGGCATATCGCTCCGCAGCAGAGCCCTCAGACGCAGGCGGTGAAAATCCCGCCGACTGGAAGTGCCCGTCACCAGACTGCGAGCGGCCTCGGTTTGCACCACATGCTCAGCATGGTACGTCGAAGTCCAATCTTGTCGCCCAGCGCGCACGTTGATACTGAAAGTCGTAAGCTCCAGCTCAAGTGCCAACACTGCTTGAGTTGCCGCTTCTGACGAGTGATGTGAGGTTTGAGATCTGAATCAATCGTCCTTCTACGCTAGGGTCTGCTACTGTGTCAAACGTACATTGACACAAAGATTGAATTCTTCATCTTCGACCACCTTTGGAGTATGAGCTTTCCCGGCAAGGTGTGAACAACAAGAATTTCGTCTTTGCAAAGCACGACGTCTGCCCGCGGTGCAGCATGGTCTTTCCCGACCTGTTTGGTGGTTGCACCCAAAGGCTTAAGCCTCAAACTTGTGTGGTGGTGAGATGATGGCAGACATGATGATGATGACGACGACTGAGACGGATGATCTTTCCATGTGATAGTCATGGTTGTTATGATGGTATTGGCTTTCAATCAGAGCAGTGTCCAACAACTGCTACTGCCACCACTGCTGCTGTCTCTAGTGCTGCGACAGCGACGACGGACGGCTACTATTATTTAATTATTGCCAGTACGACCACAACAATAACAGCAGCAGCAGCAACAACAACAACAACCATGGCTACAAAAGCAGCAGTAGCAGCACCACCAACAACAACAACTAC